TCTGAGTCTCTTCTCAAATACCACAAGAGAGGAACAACACTAGCAAGCTGGTAGCAGCTCCCTTTCACTTCATTACAAGAACAGCATCTATTTTGCATTTTTCTGAAAGTTTGCAGTTTTGTATGCATAGTGCCATAAATGCAAAACTGAGGTTCTGAAATATTACAATCCATTAAGTCATACAAATATAAATAGTTCAATTACTGCATTTATCAAAGCATTAGTCAACATGCAGGTTAAAAAAAAGCAAGTCCATTAGTATTTTGGACATTGTCTGTATACCCTAATCTCAATTAATGACCTCCTATAATATTCATATATCTATTCACAACTCTATCCAAATGAAAAATTTTGCCAGACTTTAAAAGGAACAGGTGCTGGGACTACACAAAAAATACTGAATTCAAGTATATGCAGGAAAGTCTAAATGGTTGCTCTGAAGGAAATGCATTAGATATATTCACAAGACAATTCATATTTAGTAAAGTCATGAAAAAAACAGACACAAGATTGCTTAAGTACAGAACTCCCTTTACAAGTGAAACCCAGTTAAAATCTCCCATGTAGAGGTAGCTGAATTGGTGAGTTCCTACAAAACACTGTATTGATATAGTTCCTTTCCATCTTCAGACATCCTCCTAGAGTTGAAGATCCTGAAGTTTCTACTCCTTCATCCAGGGTCTTCCAACCAACATGGGTCCACAGAAACCCTCTATACATATGTCTGCCATCTGTTTGCTTCAGCAAAGAAGCCACGGTTAAGCTGGCTTGCTCTGATGCAGCTTCAGCTGTGGTTACAACGGCTGGCTGTCAAGCCATGAACTGGACTGCGTGATCTTACCAAATCCCCTTCTTCGAGGATCTAATTCTATCTTGGTTTTAAGCAGATAGTTGGCAGTAGCACAGCTGAGGCAGTAGAACCAAGCCAGATGCAAGCAGCTTCAGACAGTAATTACTACACAAATTCAGCTGCCAAAGCCCCTGCATCCCTGAGCCATGGACACGCTCTTCACTGGGCACTGATCTCTAACCATTCCAGCACTGATTTTTGCCATGTCCTCTAATAATCTAGCTGCTCCAACATTATACTCAACTTCTGCATTATTTCCAGTTTATTTGCACTGATACGCTCCAATTTTAGCCCAACTCTTTACTTTCTTACATTAAACTGTAAATAGTTTGAATGCATTGCTTTCTTCTCCCTTGACTTCAACTCAACTCTGACTTTGGAAGGACATGCCAATCTGTCCTACCAACTGCAAGCTCTGGCTTATCACAATAATTGCTCTTCCAGTTTTTGTCCTGACAAATAGCTTCAGCAGAAATTCCACATAAAATTCCATTCAAGCGAGAGGGAAGATTAAGTAGCTGAATTACTAAAAGCTTTTAAAGGTAAGAACAGTACATGGGTCATGTATTAAACAATTAAGTCCTATCCTCCCTTAGAAGGTTAGCATTACAACTTTAAGAATAAAAAGCCTAACTTTGCCAGCAGCCCCTGTGGCAACGTGCTCTGTTACTACAGAACACTTATGGCCTTCTAATCATCAGCTGAACCTTCATATTTCTCCTTCCCCAACATCACATTATTTTCATATTATAAATATGCGTACTAAGCTAAGGGCAGGTAAGTAGTAATTTTTACCTACTACTTTTCAGAAGATATTCAGAAATACAATCCTTATTTTTAATAAAAGGTACACTGGTAGTCTGTCCCCTTCCCTCTCTCCCACTTAAATTATCATTCATTCACTACAAAACAAACAAACAAAAAAAAACCCCACACAAACAAAAAGCACCAAAACCCCCTATAGCTGTCATTTTTCCTTTGCCCGTGACAGTCACACTTTGCCTTTCTGTTTCAGTCCCAGTTGGGACTGAAAACAGTTCTGTTTGCTGAACTGGCAAACAGAAGCCAGTACTAAACAAAACGTCAAAACTTTTCTATAGTTTAAGCAGACAAGGTTCACTTTTGACAGAGCAGATGACCTCAGCGTACTGTAAGAACAGTCCCTTCCTTTCTCCCTGATAAACACAGCAAACAGGAGATGACAAGAGAATCCCAAGGTGTAAATTCAGGTACTTGAAGCTCTTACATGATAGGGAGACACATCTTTGGGTCTGATGAATTGTATTTTTGCACTGTTATCTTTCATCTTGCATAACTGTCTTTAATAACATAAAATAAACTCAAAACCTGTAATGAATCCTTATCCACGGTCAAAAGTGGCAGAAGGCATTTTTTGGAAGTAATTTTTTTCCTGAAGAACAGCAAAAACTCACAGCTTTTCCTTTCATAAATATACCCCTGTATCTTGGATACAAGGGTAACAAGTCCCTGATCTAGCCAACAGACAGGAGAACTCACCTGAACTCAGTTGAGTCACTCTTAAATTTTAGAAACACAATGTGATGTGATTCTAACATACCCATGAAGAAAGTGAGCTCATTCTCAAAAAGATAAGTGCAAGATACCATAGACAGGTAGGAATAATGGGCAATGTGCAGCTAAGCAGAAGGGCAGTAGAGGATTATAGAGGATCACAAGTTACACACAAGTCAGTGCTTCCCTCTGTTTTGGAAAACAGCAATATACAGAGCTGTATTAGAGTGGAGGTTACCAGACAGGAAAAGTAACCCCTATATCCTGATCGATGCTGTTAACATCAGATCTAGCACTCTGCATATAATTTCAAGTACCATACTTCAAAAAAGATCACTCAAATGGCAGTAAGGAAGATTTCCCTGACACTTGGAAACAACACATGGAAACGACATAAGGGAAATGTTTCTACCAGTAAAATATCATATCACTTAAACAGGTTGCCTGGGGAGCCTGAAGAATATCAATCAGCAATTCAGCACAGAGAAAAGGATTCAAAAACATCTAGTGAAGAATCACTGTGGGGAAGGGCTGGGAGAGGAAAAGCCTGACAGGATAACTGTTTGAGGTCCCTGTCAGCGCCACAATCATTTCCCTAAACTAGCCCTCCAGAATTTCAGGTATTTACTCTGCTCCCAGGGCTGAAATCACAATCATACATAATTATGTTAGGGTGGAGGCAAGTCTGTGTGCTTTTTTCCCAAATTCCTGGTGTGCAGAGCAAGATACAACCTCCAGTGGAACTCCCAACTCCTATATGCTTGCTTTCATATAACTTAGAAGATAAATCACAATTTCTCTATTGATCAACATCCCTATTACTTATACACATATTTTTCTTTTAAAAATATTTCTAAAAGGCTACACAATTGATACATTGTATGAAATTGCACCAGTTTTACTGTGTGTGGTACAAATATTTGATTTTTTTTTTTTGGTCACCTCCTTTAAAGAACAACCACTTTTTGCTTAAAGCACTTTATTACAGTCTTGGAAATATATTACAGATCCAGTACCTTGGACCCAATTTTTAGGCCTCAAAAATATTGTTGCAGATTTCTGACTCCGAGAACTGCTCAAAATCTGACATCACAATTTTTTTAATCTGTTACCAAGCTACAAATACTTTGTTCAAATATGTGATGAAGATATACCTATTTAAGATAAAGTTAACTCCAAAGCCATTAAAACAGAAGGCAGGTTTTGCTACTGTTTTAAAATAATATGTGTTATGGAAAGTTCTCTTGATCTTTTGAAATTTCACCTTTGAAACTACAATGATAGGGTAGGACATTCTGTTATAACTGATTATCACTAATCTCTTGAATGATCAGCCACAATCTACCCTTCGGATAAGAGCCATTTCTCTGTATTCTACTGCTCTATAGTATCAACTAGTTCCATCAGTTCATACTCAAATCAGTTATCACCTTGGATTTTCTTTTCCCTGCTTAGAGCCTAACAGAGAGATATTGCCAACGTTACAGCAACACAGAAAAAACATAGGGGATTTCAGCATCTGAACAACCACAAACTTTTAAAGTCATGTTTTAATAATTTCAAGCACATATGAAAGGACACACATATGTGTCAGCTAAAATTCTCTCTGCTTCCACAGCCACATACTTACCTGAAATGCCGTATAAACGTCTGATAGCAAAACATCACACTTGAAATTAATCAAATTTGAAAAGCTGTTTAAAAACTGTTCAGAATGTTTTCATTGGCAGCAGAATTACTAAATACTTTCTCCCACTGTGACAAACGAGCATTTAACAATTTATGTGGCCATCCATTCTGTCATCCTTGCAGAGTATTCTACTCATTACTAAAAGCTTGTTAATAATTACCCCCATTTCCCATATAAGTAAGTTATAGCCCTGTTCCATAAATACCACAGGAACAGCCAGCCAGGTGTGGCCTATGAAAGAACCAATGTTCTTGCAAGACCTGCTGTATTTTACACTTTGACAACTCAAATAGGTGTCCCTATATTAAGTGTATAGTGCATTACTTCAAGCACTTCACGGTGTTCCTGTGATGAACAGCATGAAGTGTGTTTTGTTCAAGTTCAGGCTATCAAAACCACAGCTCAAGTTCCAAATGCTGGTTAACATGTCTTTTAAGGACATTCAAAATAGCACTTCTCCATGGATGCCCTGAACAGAATGCCGAGGTTAGCTAGCATTCCCCTGTTCCAGTGGTTTGGGTTTATCTGTATTCATCCCACATTCAAAGCTGTTTATGTAACTTGAATATTGTAGCAAGATATTAACTGAAGTTTTTTAATACATTTGCCAACTGAAAAGAATGCAAAGTAGACTTTTACGACCCATCCAAACAACACTACTAAACATACAGATAAAAGACTGCTGAAGTGCCATTATAACTCCGCACTGGACTTTATCAGACTTACAGCCCTATCCATAAAAACGCAGAGGGATCTTTAACACATCAGTGAATAAATGAATTAGAACAAAATTGCTCCCCATACTTTGTTCAATGTATTACTCAGATACACAAAGATAAACGTTAATGGAACTATTAATTTTATGCCCGCAACTTCAATTACATCCACCACTCCAGTTACCTCAGATGACAAACAAACACTACTTACACTGCAAACTACAAGCCAGTGACTGTCCGCCTTACAAATGTATTGTCCTCAGTACAATGGGATTCCGGCCTCTACTGCTGTAGAACAGTAATACTTCTTGTTTTATTCAAGCCTTCCTAAGAGAGCAAGAATGAAAACAAACACAACAAGTATTATGGACCACAAAGGAGATGACTATGTAAAAATAGTAGCAACACCACCTTAACTTTTTGCAACAAATTCCCATAACAGTATTTGCTGAATTAATCCAGTACATCTTATCAGTATTTTTCATTTGCTATGCTAAACTGCTTTTGCAGAAGTAAACATGTTCATGGGATCAGCTAGCTTAACAAGGCAGCAATTCATAAATATGTCTTATTTTGATGAGGCTTTGATCTGTCAAGGACTTTTGCACACTACCTAAACTGCACTGCAATTCACTGAGTTGGCAAAGGAAATTAAAAAACAGGCGTATTTCACATAAGTTTCCTGAGCCTCCATTTTACTGCAACTTCAAAAAAATTATTTTTCTCAAGAGTTTTTTCCATTTTCCTTTAATGGGTGAGAAAAAGCAGCAAATCAATTCTGTGTAAGTCTGACTCAGTTGAAAATAAGCTTATTTTCAGCTATCTGCTTACACAAATTTAAATATGCATACTTCTAAATGAAATTTACATCTATGAAGTATGTATTCTTCACATTTCATGCATTAATAGAGAACAATAACTGTCTGACAGCACTCTTTATTGCTACAGGACATAATTTATTTTTTCTAAATACAGTGTAATAGTTTTAATGAAAAAATCATTATTCTAAATTACTTAAATGTGTACACAGACAAGTGGAAATCAAGAACCACACTAACAGAATGAAGTGTCTGAACACGTCAGAGTACAGGAAAAGGACCTAAACACAGCCTCTAAGCTTTCAAATGTTCTACAAGGTACTCGGCATGAGTTATAATACCAACTTTTTGTATCTCTGTGCACCATACAAATTCACACACTATGTCACTGATATAAACTCTTCATTAAAAGTGTTAATTCACCAGCAGTATCCAGTCAAGCATGTCTGCAGTGCACAGAATTGTGAGAGAACTCAGTTCCACCACAGCCAGCTTGGCTGAAGACAAGTAGTTCAAATGAACATACTAAAGGTGCAACAGAAAAGCACACACAGGAAACACCCTCGGGGAGGCTCTCATTCAGGTGCAACACCCATCCTGAGCAGTGTAACTACAATTAACTCATTTTTTGCTCGTAAGAAAATACAGGCTTTTAGCTGATGCACCTTAACAGAATCTCCTCTGGAATCCGGGGCCAAGACACATTTCTCCTTTCCCAGAACTGAGCTGGGCTCTGCTCACAGCCGGCTCAGACCACCTCTCCTTCTGCAAACGGGCAGCGTGAGCGCTTCATAACTGAGCCCAAACCATGCCAAGTTGCATACGTCGAAGTGGGCCTGCTCCCACCCCGCTTTATTTCGTCCAAGGTGGCAGACGGAGCTCGCGACCCGCCCAGCCGGAGGGGGTGCCTCCCGAGGCGGACTGCGCAGGACGGGGAGCCACCGCCCGCCAGCGCCGGCGCCTGGCCGGCCTCTGCGCCGGGCACCAGGCTCCCCCTTCCGTCCCGGGATACTCCGTCACCTTGTTGGGGGGGGGAAGAAAAAAAAAAAAAAAAAAAAAAAAAAAAAAAAAAAAAAAAAAAAAAAACACCCCAAACCAAAACCAAACCCCAAACCAAAAAGCTTTGGACTGAAGGCTTGCCCGTGCGTGCTGTGCAGCTGCCTGCCCCGCCGGCTTCCCCGCACCCACCGACGGTTTCGGACCCTCACGCACAGGCCCGCTGCGCTGCGGGGAGGCGGCCGAGCTGCCCTCTCGGCCCACAGGCTGCGGCCTGCGACCTCGGTCACAGCACCCCCGGGGCCACCCCCGTGCCGAGCCCTGCAAGCCCACCCCCGGTGGGGAGACCGCCGCTCCACGGCCCAGGAGAACGCCCCGCGGGCTGAAGGCGGCCGCGGGGCGGCCCGGCCTGGCTCCAGCATCGCCCTTTTTCTTCCCTAGCCGGAGGCCGCACGCAGAGCCCCGGGCTTCAGCCGGGGCTGGCCCTAGCTCCTCCGGCAGCCGCCGGGTCGGCACCACGGGGACCCGCACTCACCGCTCCCGAGGCCGGCTCGCCCGCCGCTGCCGGTGCCCGTCCCGCGACCGCGACAACAACCAATCCGTGAACTATTCGGCCTCCAGCGGCGGCCAATAAGTAGCCAGAGCAAGGCAGCAGCGACCAATCCCGGACGGGGGGGGGGCGGAAACAGAGGCCGGGGACTCGCCACACCGCCCCTGTGGGCGGGGCGGGGGCGGGGTAGCGGGGAGGGCGGTGGGAAGGGCGGGGCCCCGACGCCTGCGCCGGGCCCCGACGCCTGCGCCGGGCCCCGACGCCTGCGCCGGGCCCCGACGCCTGCGCCGGGCCCCGACGCCTGCGCCGGGCCCCGACGCCTGCGCCGGGCCCCGACGCCTGCGCCGGGCCCCGACGCCTGCGCCGGGCCCCGACGCCTGCGCCGGGCCCCGACGCCTGCGCCGGGCCCCGACGCTTTCCTGAGGGCCGTGCGGCCCGCCTTCTTCCCCAGGGGTGCCTCGTAGGGGTGCGGGTGGTGTACCTACGGCGGCCGTGCCGAGTGAGGCGAGCCCCGAGTGAGGCGAGCCCCCGCGGCAGGGGGAGCGCTGGGCAGCCCTTCGCCAGCCGTGGACGGCGGGGGGAGGCTCCGGCGGGGACAAGGCCTTCCAGGCCCAAGGGCAGCCCTGGCAGAGCCGGCCTCACCGCCCGCGGCCGCCGCCGAGGGGTGTTCTGCTCGGATTTCTGGCCTTTATTGGTTGTCTGTTGCCGAATAAATTACTGTTAGCCTTTTAATCCGTCGTTTAATCGTGCAGAGTGAGCTCACCTCTGGGCCGGTCACTTACCTGCATTTAGAAGGGTATTTTACTGTTTAGAGGCAGGCAGAAAGCAATTTCACGTTTTTCTGTGGAAAAGTGGGAAAGAGTGGCACACAGTAGGACAAAGATGTACGCACGATGCCTGGGTGATACACATTGTACCAGAGAGGGAGATAAAAGGCATAATTTACAGAGAGAAAGGGTAGAACATGGGAAAAGGAGAAAAATAATGGCCTCACACATGAAGAACAGCTATGTTCTGTGCATTGAGAAAGCAGGAGGAGAAGCACACGGCATTTGGGACAAAGACAGATCACAGACAGTGCCATACGAGAAAGAGGCCAGAGAAGACATGCTACACGTTGACTACAGTGATGAAGCTTCACCTGTTTTAACTACTATTTTTATAAAATTTCAATATTGTTTTTTATTAATATGATTAGTCATTCCTCAGGAAAATCTCTCACAATCAACTTTGTGTAGAATATTTCAGCTAGTATACACTTACATTGTGCTACACTCTTATCAGCATAACTATCCTACACTCTGTTGCAATAATAATCATTTTTTGCAAAAAAAAAAAAATATATATATATATATATTGAATGATTATATCCTAGCCTGCTCACATCTACCACAAAAGTTTTTTAGTTTTTCAATATTACCATGCTGGGTACACAGTTAGGAATTAATCATTTCTGTACACCAACATCTACTTGTTGAAATGTGACAACCACAATTGGGAATAAGCTTCATCACCAAAGAAGAGAACAAGTGATTATTGGACCTAATTAAATGTGATTTTATGAATGTGTCCCATATTCCTGCTCCGTCTCAGCAACAAGAATCCCTAGTCATCCATTTTTTTATGACTCCTTCCCTTGCCTACATTATCAGTAAAGTTCTCTTTAGCCATTCTGCCCTTCCATGTTTCCTGTAATTATTTTTCATGTCCCTCCATTTTAAGCAAGGCAAGCGACAGGGCATACTGCGTCTGGTTACTAGCTTTCAAAGTGCTGATAGTTGAGCCAGTACATGCATGCTGACTGCTAGCCAGGAAGACATATAAATGGCTAACTGTAGAGTTCATGATCATTAGAAGTGCTGACTTTGCTTTCTCCTGTACATAGCTGCTAATTTTTGCAGAACTTGCAGAAGTTTAAGTATGTTGAAGATGCTCATCTGACTAATAGGGATGAAGAAAAAACGGAGGCATTCAATGCTTTTTTTGCTTCAGTCTTTAATAAAACTGATGGATCTTGGGCTTGCACAGGACCACGAGTGTGCAAACAGTGACCACAAGTGTGTGAACAGTGACTTTCCATTTGTGGACACTGAAATTGTAAGGGAGCAGCTGTATCAGCTGAATACTCACAAGTCCATGTGATTCATCCCAGGGTACTGAAGGGGCTAGCAGGTGTTATGGCAGGACCCCTCATGATCATCTACCAAAGGTCCTGGGAGTCTGGGGAGGCCCCTGATGACTGGAAGCTAGCCAGTGTTATTCCAGTTTACAAAAAGGGTGTGAGGGAAGACCCAGGGAACTACAGACCTGTTAGTCTAACCTCAGTTCCTGGAAAAATTATGGAGATCATCATACTGGTTACAATTGAAAAGCATGATGCAGTCATCAGACACAATCAGCCTGACAAAAATTTAATAAATTTGATATCCTTCTATGGTATGTTCACCCATCTGGTGGATCAAGGGGAGGTGGTGGATATAGTTTTTCTGAATTTTAGTGAGGCTTTTGGTACTGTTCTTCACAGCATTCTTCTGCACAAGTTGTTCAGCTGTGGGATGAGCAGGTACACAGTGCACTGGGTGAAGACCTGGCTGAAAGGCAGAGCTCAATGGGTCATAGAGAACGGGGCTACATCTGGCTGGAGACTGGTCACCAGCAGTGTTCCTTAGGGCTCTATTCTAGGGCTAGTTCTGTTCAATATGTTTACCAGTGACGTGGATGCAGGAGTTAAATGCACCATGAACAGGTTTACTGATAATACCAAACTGGGAGTTGCTGTTGACTCTCTTGAGGGACATGAGTCCTTGCAGACAGATTCAGATAGACTGGAGTGTTGGGCAATCATCCTTAGCATGACATTTCACAAGAACAAATGCTGGACTCTGCACTTGGGAAGGAATAATGCTGGGCACAAGTATAAACTGGGAGAGGAGCGGCTGGAGCTCAGCCCCGCAGAAAGGTGTCCGGGGGTGCTGGGCGAGAGCAGGCTCCGTGTGAGCCAGCAGTGTGCCCTGGCAGCCCAGAGGGCAAACCTCTGCATCCTGGGGTGCATCAAACACAGCGTAGCCAGCCGGTCAAAAGAGGTGATTATCCCACTGTATTCAGCGTTGAGGTGGCCTCACCTTGAGTGCTGTGGGTGGTTCTGGGCCCCACAATTTCAGAAGGATGTGAAGGTCCTTGAACGTGTCCAGAGGAGGGAAACAAAGCTGGTGGAAGGGCTGGAAGGCATGTCCTGTGAGGAGGGGCTGAGGACTTTGGGTTTGTCTGGTTTGAAGAAAAGGAGGCTGAGGGGTGACCTCATTGCTCTCTACAGCTTCCTGGAGGGGGGGGAGTGGAGAGGGAGGTGCTGAGCTCTTCTCCCTGGGATCCAGTGACAGGACGCACCAGGGGAGGTTCAGACTGGACATTAGGAAACATTTCTTTACTGAGAGGGTGGTCAAATTCTGGACCTGGCTTCCTAGAGAGGTTCTTGATGCCCCAAGCCTGTCAGTGTTTAAGAGGCATTTGGTCAATGCCCTTAACAATTTTTGGTGAGCCCTGAATCAGTGAAGCAGTTGGACTAGATGATTGTTATAGGTCCCTTCCTACTGAAAATATTCCATTTATTCTATTCTATTCTATTCTATTCTATTCTATTCTATTCTATTCTATTCTATTCTATTCTATTCTATTCTATTCTATTCTATTCTATTCTATTCTATTCTATTCTATTCTATTCTATTCTATTCTATTCTATTCATTTTCTACATATCTGCAATATAAAAGATACATTTATTAATCAGTAATTGCTATGAATAACAACCACATCTCATCAATAAAGCAACCTTTTTAATACTGTTTTTCTTTAATAACTGCTTTAATAATATTGAGCCCCGATTCAGACTATAAGAGCATTTTTTTTAATATATTGTAGTTTTGCTTAAGCATCTGAGTAGATTATCTAGACAATGTGACCTAGAATAAAGTCATATTCCATTTGTTATCTTTTTTGGTTTATTTTGTTTTCAGAGATGTAGAAAGGTCTGAAATAGTAGATAGCTTGTTTATAAGCCCTGTAGGCTGGGTCGTAGTGCCATGCAAACAACAGTAAGTGATGTTAGCTAGAAGAAAGAGAAATTAAGTTATTAAGCTAGTTTAAAATCTTTTTAAACTATTTCATTGATTTTAATACAGAAATAATTGTTTTCTTACATAGTGTTCTGGGTTGAGTGAGTGGTGGAGTTTTTTTGGTGGCAGGGGAGGGGGCTATCAGGGCGGCCCCCTGTGAGAAGCTTCTTGAAGCTCCCCCAGCTCCATGTCAGCTCCACTTCTGTTTGGGAAATTGAGCCAATTGGCTGTGCCTCTGCGATAACGTATTTAAGAAGGGACGTGGTGACGGGCAGTCGGACTTGTGAGGAGGAGTTGCTGCAGCTGCGTGAACAC